ACACAGACGGAACACAAGGACTAGGACGGAAGGTCAACACCGTGTGAGGGTGTGTCGCGACCTCGATCCCGCCCGGGGAAGCACAACACACACGGAGCACAAGGACTAAGACGGGAGGTCAACACCGTGTGCGGGTGTGTCGCGACCTCGATCCCGCCCGGGGAAGCACAACGCAGACGGAACACTTCATTGGGATACGTCGACCTGCTCAAATATCACAGGGGTCGCACTGTACCATCCTCTTGCTCTTGTTCAATATCTGCTCCAACTCCAGATATCGATGCATCCGTAAATTAACCTATACGGTCTTTTCCCTGATATCGCTTCTGATAGTCAGGGAATGCCAACACTTCCGGACTTGACAATTTGTCCCGCATTTCTTATATCGCCTCGGCATGTTTTGCCGTGACCACAAATTTTGCCATCCTTCTTTAACAACGCCGTGACTGAATGCAATTTTGCAGACATCCCTTTCAAAATTTTACGATAATACGATAGACTTCCCAAAATTGACCGTAGCTGACTGACATTCGTAGGCATCGGCATTTGCAACATGGGCTTCACCTTCTTCGGACAGGGCTCGATTCCTTCCGCCGTCACTTGATGTCCCAAGTACGTCACCATCTTTACCCCCAAATGTGCTTTCTTCGGCGCAAGCTTGAGGTTGAACTTGGTCATGCGTTCGAAAAACCTCTCCAAATCTTGCTCATGTTCTGCACCCTTTCGGGAGTAACGATAACATCGTCAATGAATAATCGCACTCTTTCCAACCCATCACACAAATGTTGCATGACTGAATGGAACCACCCTGGACTACTTGACAACCCAAGCGGCATAGCCATGAATTCATATGAGCCTGTGGCTGTAATAACAGCAGTAATCGGAATGCTGTCTTCTTCAAAACACCACTGGAAAAATCCGCTGATCAAATCCAGAGTGCTGAATATTTTCGCTGACTTCAGATCCGCCAAAATGTCCTCCACTATTGGTATCGGCAGTTTCGGTATAGCGCTCATTTGGTCCACCTTTTTGTAATTCTCCGTTAACCTCACTCCGCCATTAGCTTTTGCGACCACGACCAAGGGACTCGCCCAATTACTGTATGATCGTCGCAAGGCTCCTGCCAGCAGCAGTATATCGATTTCTATCTGCACTTTTCCATTGATGACCGGCGAATAACGATACGGTCGTTATTTATCCGGCTGTGCCCCCGGTTTCAAAATAATTCGGAACGGATCCACCTTGACTTGTCCCAAATCAGTACAATTGTACCATCCTTTGAAAATCTGTGCTCATATTTGCATAACAGATCACTTAGGTTCAATTTGCGCTGGCATATTCTGCCATAGACGCCGACATGCCACCTGTTGCGAGGGGTTTAAAGCAGCCATAACATCATCCGGAGGTTCATCTTCAGGCACTTCAGTTGCATCACTTGACACCATATGTACCTTGTAGTCCTCATTCGGGATACGCCTTGCATCGTCCATACTAACATCCTCCAGGGTTTCACCACCCTCACCCAACAGGTCATTGTACTTGACCAAAAATGCAGCATCCCCCACTCGTCTCAAAGGAATTTCAGATTTGCCTGCACTTACAAGTGCTTCTTGAGGAAACCATT